CTTGTTCGAACATTCCCTTGATCTAAGATCGTGAATCTTACGAAACTCTGGGAATCTAGAACGGTGTATATTGCGGCCGTAGGATAACTTTGTGTGACCTATCTGTGCTTTTGGTTGTTCTAGTTTTTTAAAAATGTCTTCACGCTTTGAAGTTGAAATTTTTAATGGGAAAGGGGATTTTTCAATTTGGCAACAAAAGATGAAGGGTATTTTGGTCCAATAAAAAGCTTTAAAGGCCATAGATGGCAAATTTCCTGTAAATTTAACAGAAGTACAAAAAGAAGAGTATGATGAACTTGCATACACTTCAATTATTTTACACCTATCTGATACTGTTTTAAGAAAAGTAGGAAAACTGGATTCTACAAAACAACTTTGGGAAAAGTTGGAGGACTTATATTTGCTTAAGTCAACTCCTAATAAATTGTACTTACTTGAACGATTTTTTAGCTTTAAAATGGATCCTTCAAAGGATTTGGATGATAATCTGGATGTCTTTAACAAATTAGTTCAAGACATCATAACTGTGATGAAGAGGTATCTGAAACGTATAAGGCTATTATCCTGCTTAATTCCATGCCTGATTCATATAGGGAAGTTAAGAATGTAATTAAGTATGGTAGGGATACCTTAACACCCGAGATTGTCATAGACTCACTTAAGAGTAAGGAGATGGAGATTAAGGTTGAAAAAGAGGATAAGAGGAGTGGCGAGTTACATATGATGAGGAGTAGGATGAAGTTTAAGCAAATGAATTTGGGTAGAACTCAAGACGGTAGTGATTCGAGTAGTGACTCGAGTGATGAGGGTAGTAAGAAGAAGGGCAAGGGACGAGACAAGTCTAGTGGTAAAAGGTGTTACAGTTGTGGTAAGTCTGGACACTTTATTAGGGACTGTCCCAAGAAGAAAGATAAGTTGAAGGGAAAGATGAGAGGTGAGACGAATTTGGTTGAGGGGTCGAGTTATGACCCCAGTGAGGTTTATTGAGTGTAAACCTAGTCACTGCATATGCATCTGTGTGTGATTGTCTAAATTTTGTTGCATGATTATCTGCTACATTTCAATGTGTTTGATATGTGCATTTGCATGAATTTGAGACATTAGGATTACTTGGTGTAATTGCTTGCATGCATAGTGGGTTAGGATGCATTAGCAGTGTATTGTGTGTCTTTTGGTGAGGTGGAGTATAGATGTCTAAGGGTACATGGTAGTTTGTACCGAGGGATGTAGACTGTGACATTTGGATCACGAGTGGAGATGTGATCAAATGTCTAGGATCCTTTATCTGGAAAGAGACCCTGATCAGGTGGAGTGTGAAAGAGGCACTTCTATCACTTCTGTTAGGTGAAGACCCATTATCCACGTAGATTGGGAGAAGTGATGTGGAGATATAGGATTATCCCGTGGACTTAGGATCTATTGTGACTCACCAGTTAGACATAAGTTGAGTGATCTGTCTAGTGAGCGTGGTGGGCGATGAGAGGAGATATGTGTTCTCGAGGTGTGAGCAACATGGAATGGGATAGAATAAGTGTGGTGAGATCTTTTCTTAGGATTATTTATGCATGTGTTGCATATGTGGTTGACCGTGGTTTGATTGATTTGGTGTTAATCTATGGTTCTATGTGAACGTGTTTCTGAAAAGATCTGTGTGTGTTATCCTATAGTATATCGTCATCGCATGTGTATTTGCTCTTGATTGATTACTGTTAAATATTTATTTCTACTTGGGTGTTTTTGACCTTAGCCCAGTGAGTACATGGAGCATGTATGGTATGTGTTTCAAGTTGGAAACACGAGGTAAGGTTTGTGATCCAATTTTATTGGCTACATTGATTATGCAAGTGTTAACTGTATGTTTTGATTGTTTGCAGATTTATTGGGCATCAAGGTGGAGATTTGTTGGGTTTTTGATACCCAATAAATCCCGAGCTATGATATTAACGTGGGTTAATATTATTTCATAGGCATAGGCCGATGAATGAAATAAGTCCAACAACCAAGTCCATGAGCTACACCCGGCCCAATTGTATTTCTTATGGATGGCTTGAATCTTGGCCCGTTTACCCCTTTAACAGCCCAACTTAAAGCCTAACCCTAGAATATATATATGAATATAACCCTAGCCTCTTTGATATGATGATTGTGTGATTTTGAGAGAAGAAACTAGTGAATCCCGGCTGCCCCCCTTTTGTGTGAGAAAAAGGTGTCCAGAAATGTCCAGAACGCTTGTATAACGTGTGCAATTGGTGGTTTTTTCATAGTATACCTTTATGGTGTTTTCTCTTAACCTTTGTGGCAATAAATCATCATCCTTTCTTGTCCTACGTAGGTAAGATTGAATAGCAATCAAGATGAATCAATTGGTTGTGGTTTGGAGCCGTTTGGATTGGTTGTTGGTAGAGAAAGGTACGTTGGACTGAGTCTAGAAAACCACCGTTTGAAGATCTTTTGAGAGAGCTTCCGCAACATGGGTGACATAGCTCGAAATTAAATAAAGGATCTCCTTCATTGTTGCAGAGGTTGGCTGCCATACAGTTAATTATAGTTTTTAATTTTTTGGACTTGAGCACCCATTACTTGCCTTGTTCAACTCTCGAAATCCATTTTGTTGGTTTTTTTGGCAGTGTTTCATTGTGAGTACAGCGAATTTCATGCAGACAACAATGATCAATGCAGGAATGGCACTCTAGCTTATTAGCTTTCCTTCCATTTTCATTTTTATCCATATACTACTTTCTTACACATTCTTTACCATAGGTTTTGTGTGACAGATATTTCGAGGTAATCAACTACCCTGTCGGTGGAGTTGGAGTAACTGCAAAGGCATTAGCAAAAGGGTTGGTTAATCAGGGGAGCGAGATACTTTATAAAATTAATGCAATGAACATTATCCTTGAAAACGGAAAAGCAGTGAGTTTAAGCGCCACTGGGGTCTCATCGGCAGTATTTTCCATGATTTTCTTCCAGATGGATTCACTTCTGTCTTTCCTTGAGTATGTAGGATCATTGAAAGAATTTAGAGAAGTCATATGGAAGTATATTCTTAAGTATCCCAACTGTTCTTGATTTTTTGTTAGCTCCAGAGGGGAACCATATTCTTCACATTTTTACAACTTCATCCATAGAAGACTGGGAGGCATGTTTACTTGATATTTTACTATAAAATGCTTATTGTTGTCGATCAATATTTTCTTGTTTATTTTTCCAAAATACTGGAAATGGCAATTTCCTTTCAGGGCCTCTCTCACAAAGATTATGAGGCAAAGAAGGAACTTGCGGCAGAAAAATAATTAACAGGCTTGAGAAGAAACTATTCCCAGGGCTTAAATCATCCATTGTTTTTAAGGAGGTATAAGTCGGAATTCCAACCTAGCATTTGTATAGACATTCAGTGCACTATTGAAGCTTCAAATCCTGATGATTTATGGAATGCTTGTTCAAATTGAAAAGAAGAGCTGAGAAGTTGAAAAAAAATCTTGAAATCAATTATTGAGTGAACCTAAGTTTTCTGGTGGTATTATGCTGCTGGAAATTTTAGGTCCCCAGAATATCTTTTCCAGATTTTAGCATAGGACTACCCAGTATTCTACTAAAAACCAGTCTTGCATTCCGAACTTCCAAAACTCTGAGAGATGCAGTCATGTCTAAGTACGTTACTTTTGTGGCCAAATAGTTATTGCTTCACTTTTTCTGTTAATCATTTGAAACCTAAGTTCCTCCTTTTCTACTCTAGATATTTTCTTTTACTGGCAGTAACTCTAATATTTGTACCTATCAGAAACTAGAGAAATCAAAATTCAGCCACAGCGCCGTGTTGTTAAATGTTAACTGATGAAGAAAATAGTCTCATCTTTGTATGTTATGTCAGTTCAGGCTTCGGAATTAATTTGACATCTGTATGGTGCTTCTAACTATGGCAGGTAGGAACACCGAAGACAAACAGGCGATACCTGGCTTGTGATGGTGGTACCTATGGACCAATACCACGTCGAGTCCCAAAGGGCTTAATGGGATTGCTGTTCAATACAACCGTACGTGAATCTTTTACATTTGTTTCTGCTCTAACTCTATAAATGAATGAAAAGATGATACTCTATTCCATAGCACTTCTTGTAAACTGCTCGTGCTATGGATTTGTAGGCTATAAATGGTGTGTATTGTGTGGGACATAGCTGCTTTCCAGGCCAAGGTGTTATAGCAGTAGCCTTTTCAGGAGTAATGTGTGCCCGTCGAGTGGCTGCTGACTTAGAGCATGATTGAAAAGTTTATAAGTTACTTTTCAGTAAGTTTTTTGTCTTCTTGTTTGGATTTTGAGTATAAAATCATACTTCTTTTAACCTTTTTTTTTTTTTTTTTAATGATACTTGATGCATCTTGATGAGGAAATGGATGTTTTCCTGGAAACATTTTTTCAAGCTTTTCGAGGTTTTATCCTGATCCAGATGGAAAAGTCCGAATATTTGATGCTGCTCTACTGAGGCTACTTGCTTGGTTAAGGACACTCGCATGAGAAGTGCCATGCTAGACATCCTAGGGAAATCATGACCGATCAACAGGAACGAAATTTGTCGATTGAATTTGATTTTTACTTTGTCTGTCATTAAATCTAGTTAAGGAATTTTGAAACAGGTGAAGTTTAGTCTTTCTGTGGACTTACTGTTGTCATTTGTTTCGAGTTTTAGATGGAAAAATGTGAACTATACATGAATGTTGTTGTGAAGTACGTCGTTTACTATAGCAGTGTCTTTCAAATGTATTTATTTGCAATGGGTTTTCCTAAACTATGAAGTTGAATTAATAAAAATATAGGTTGAACGAACATTCATTAAAATGTAACCAAACTGAAACAGAAACCATCCGGTTCAACTGGTCAGGCTCGTCTTTCATGTTGAACCAACTAGTTTTACCTGATGATACTCCAAATCGAGACCGGTGGTCTATCACGAAAACCACACCACGTTCATGGCTACTTTTTAAATCGTGATAATATCATCAAATTCAAACAAATCTCTTCACAATTTCACCAATCACAATTGTCTTCACAAAAATATCTCAAGAAATAATCTTTTGAGAAAGTCAAAAGGACGAAGCATTGCAAAGGATAAGTAAAGGTAATGACCAACGATCTGTCTGTGTCGCGTACAATAAATCATTCCAAATGATTCGGTTAGAAAAGAATAGACATCGGAATTTTGATTGAGAAATCATACATAAATGTGTAATATACGAAAGGGAACTTACCAGCAAGGCAATAACACTCTCTAAGCCAAATGAGAATACGCAGAAGAAGCCCCCCGGGGCACATCCAAGTTGGCAAAGGAAGGACAGTGCGGGGCTCGCAACCCCGACGTGGGGAGTTCGATTCCTGGTTGGAGCAGCTGAGTGTTGTAATAATCAGAGGAAGGGTTGGAACAGCTTGGTGATGTAATAACCATGGAGGAGGCTCCCTTGGAGCCAGGAGTATAAAGGCTGTTCGAACCCTGGTCAACTTGGGCACATCCCGCGATTTACCTCCCTGAGCTACTGAGGGGCTGGAAGTTCAGGGACGAGGATATAGTCTGGCGTAAGCTGAGACATCTCGTTAAAAAAAAAAAAAAGAAAAAAAAAGAGAATACGCAGAAGAATACAATATTTGCTGATCAACCAGTAGAAGGCATCCTACACCAACAAATGGAAGTAAAAGCACACTGCAAATAATTCAATTCCGCACCAAGAAGGAATCCAAAAGATATGCATACCCCGATGATGGAAAGTGGTACTAGAATCCTCTCACGGTGTGTTTGATAAGGTGGAATGGATAGCACTCGATAATATTTAAAGAGAAAGGGCTAAAGATCTTGTTCATTGTACTATCGAGTCCTGTCTACGACTGTGCCAAACATTTCCTCTGTTCAAATAGATGGCCATAATCTTCACCAGCGGAAAAGAGGCACTAGGTATCTGTTTTATACTCGTGTACTTGAAAGATATCTCCACTGCCCCACATGAGGTCCCTTGTCTAAGAGCATTAACAAGCCTGCGTTGTTGTTGCTCGATAACCCGAACATGTATCTAAAATCATAAGAAAAATTTTACGAGTTCAGGTACATTTTCTTCATTGGCTCCAGAAAATAACTTACTAATTACAAGACTAAATGATGGCCTAACTTAGTCATAAATTATCAGATGAATATATGTCCATCCAGCATGCAATCCTCTCAATCAGTTTTTTCTGCTACAGACTTGAGAGACAGTTATATTGGTCCAGGCTTGCATATCTATCAACATATCTGAGTACCCTTGGCATAGGCTGCCATTGTCCCGGGACAAAAATTATATGACCGCCCTTTCATACTAAGAAGGTACATATTGTTCTACTCAATGCCAAAGTCAATGTCCAAAGTAAAATCTGGAGAATAATATTTTATGACAACTACTGTTTACTAGCTTAAAAAATATGATCTGCAGTTCATACATCCTAGTTACTGAAGCAATTTGATTAAGTGGAAATATATATATATAGAACAGAAATAATTAACCTAGCAAAATTTGCAGCATGATTATTTAAAGCAATTACTTAATGAACAGATATCTCTCTTACAGAGTCAGTAAAGATATACTCACCTGCATCTGCGCGCTTTTCTTCTCCAGAAAACCAAGGTTATGATCCACTGAACATGAAAACGAGATAATATACAGTGAGCAATTATGAAACAGATGTGAGGCATGATTCTAGAACAAGGAAAATTTGATAAAATTATAGTAACATTTCATACAATCGAACTGATTGGATAATTGCAGAACATAAGAAAAAACTTGGGAAAAATAAAGATATATACAACATAAAAATAATCTGAAAAAGCTTTTGCTTTTCAGTCTTTACTTATGTCAAATAAAACTTGGAAATAAGAATAATAATACGTAGCGAAGAAGTAATTATATAACACAATTTAAAAATAGAACCGCATGGAAATCAGAATCAGATGGTGTGAACTAAAAAGTTTGGAATGGAGACTAGAACCAGAAAAAAGATGTTAAAAACTCCAATAAGGAAAATAACAATATAAAACTATACCAAGTCCAATTCAGTAACTGAAAGCATAAAAAATGGCACAAGGGCAATCTAGAAAGATATCAATGTAATCAAAAGAATCAGATGTGTCACAAATGCAGTGTGTCCACAAAGCAAACTGATCAAAATGCATTGAGCAGGATGAAGTACAAACACACGTCATAATTGGAGGCATGCAACGAATTAATCCCAATTTGAACCCATCACAACTAAATGAAGAAATGATAGTCGTTATGCGTATCAGATCACCTTGAATATTGCCATAAAGGAAAAATTTCCAACTACTGATGGCTTCTTCACAGGCATCCTTCTCTCCGGTGTCATTTCTTTACACAAGTTTTGAGCTATCTCCTTCAACAACACAAATTGTGCCTTATCAGTCCCAATAGAAACAATTGCCTGTCTCATTGATTCTCTATCGGCTTCAAGAGCCTGAAGCCTAGCATACAGCTTCTGGATCTCTGGATCTTTAATGTCTGAACAAAAAGGTGACTCCCTTGGAGGAGTTGTCGTCATATAGTCATCCCCCATTCCTACAGAAGCCTTGGGCTCCTTCAGACCAAGAGCCTCCTGGTGAACAGAATCAATTGTATAAACTCTGTCACTCATGTCATCTCCAACTTCTGATGCATTGTCCACCTTCCTCAAATTAGAGTTCTCCATCTGCAAAAATTCATTCTTAAAACTTCCACCAAATTTTGGAGATTCTGGACCCAAATCTTTACCCGTTGCAAATAAGGAATTTGAACTATCATCTGAGAATTTTCTAGAATGCCTAGGCTGCCTTGGGGACTGACCAACTATCACCTTTTCAAACATATTTTTAACACCACCAAGTTCTGCTTCAGGATGAATGATCCTAGGACTTTCTTCTAATTGATTGATTTGATATTCAAAATCCTTCAAATGAACCTTAGAACGAGGTGTTTCCCCAACTGCATATTTCTCAACGTCAACATCTTCATCATCACCATCAGGATAAACCTGGGACTCACTAAAATTGCACCTCAGAGGAGGGTAAAGCTCGCAAGGGGGCAATTCAAATTGCCCATCAAGGTTTTCAGTTATACTATTGTACCGGATTATACTGTTCTCTCCATCAGCCTCAACCTCAGTCAGGTTATAACTCATTATCCTATGCTTATAGGCCTGCACCTCACATCTAAGCGATAGAGTTGATTGCTCCCTCTTATACAATAAATCCTCCAACGCCAACATTTCCTGCTGATCGTGTGCCATTTTCTCCTCTACAAACCTCTTAAACTGCTTAGCCTCCATCTGTATCTCTGCCTTCTCCCTCTGCAATCTCAGAATCATCGACATGGCCTCATTGGCAGCTGAGGAGGCCGCATCCCTCTCCTCCTTCAACTCATCTATGAGGTCTTGAATCGTCTGCTGTTGGCTGCCGACTGTTTCACGCAATGCCATACACTCATTTCCTATTTCCACACGAGCATTTTGTGGTAAAATGAGCCCTGGGACTGTGAACTGGTTCTCTTCATTAAGTTCATTGAACTTCCGTTTCACAGACCGGAGACACGTACCAGAAAATGACCCATTCATCGTCGAACAGCTACACCCGCAGTTGCAACATTCAACCACACTAATTGATGGGGGCATATCCTCAGAATCCATCGATTAACACTCGTTCACTAAGTCTCAAACACTCCAATTCAAATTCAACACTCGAAGAATCTAGTTTGATGCTCAAAACTAATTTCAACGAGTATTTACAAAATCAAACGCTTCCAGACCTCCCTCTGGGAATATTAATAAATTCCCTCGAGATTATTTGTAAAAACTTCCCTTTTTTCCTCAATCCCACACATTATCGACGCTTTCACCAACATCTCGTAGCCAAAATATTTCCTACAAAGAAAATTAAGAAGAAAAAAATCCCTCAACTCCAAGAACTCTAAAATTTCACAATATCTACATTACCATATTCAAAACACAACGCGTGATAATCACCTCGAGCTCGGTGGAGGCTGAACATGTAGCTGAAAAATCAAGGTGAATATTCCCAGAATCTTCACTGTTGGGATTCTGGGAATGATATATTCTTGGGAAAACTGGACAAGGTTTATTTCTGAAGGGTGAATTTCCCTGAAAAATTGAAGATTGAGGAAGAAGCGAGGGAATAATAATATATAACGTGGAGGGACAGCTGGAGAAGAAATCGAGTTTGAAACCCTAGATTTTTCTTCGGATTCGAAATGCTTCCTGTATCGTGAAATTGATGACTATTTTTAGAGAAGAAAATGGATTATTGGGTGGGGAAGACCGGAAGAGGATAAAATTGGAATTAAGTGATTGTTTGGTATGAATTTTGTTAATTGATTTTTTTATTGTTAGATATAAAGTGGGTTGTACTTGTTAGAGAAAGATTCAAAAATGATGATTGAAATAGTGAAATAACGGTGAAAAAATTGATATTAATTGAATTAAAATCTCTACCAAATATGCTCTAAAGTTGTACGTACCTCAACCCCATTTGGTCCCATTACATTATATTTTATTTTTCTTTCTTATATTTTTAATCACACAATTTTTCATAAAATAATATTACATATAAATCGAAGAATTTTCCTTTCTTTTCAACCACTTATTTTTTTAAAAAAAAATAATATTCCACCTGATGACTCCGGATTGGGTACCCCGAACTAGACCTCATTTTGCCCACAATCCTTGACCTCGACCTATGACCCCTGAGTTGATCTTCGCGTGTCACGCCTGTTTAAGGTCGGGGTTATTATCTAATTCGACTTTACCCGTCAACTTAATCTCCAAAAAATAGAACCCACCTAAATCTACTCCTTCACTAATTAGAACTCTAACAATACACTTCTAATTAAACTCCAACACCTAGTCCTAAGAGGAACATGACTGTTTCAGTAATAGAATCCTTCAACAGCTCCCTCACCAATACCTATAAATACTTGGCCAAGGCTCAACATCAAGGTACTTTTTTCATTATCTTCAGTTTATAACCTCACGCACTAAAATCCCTATCCGACTTAAGTATCGGAGGGGCGACGAGCACACACCTCGTTGCCTTTGTTGCAGGTATTCACAGACTGGTCGTGTTCATCAAAGTGAAGTTCGACCATCAAACTCGAGATCTTTCAGGTGATATTTTTTGATAGCATCACCACCCATTTTAATTTTGAAAAAATGGTGGCCAAACAGGGGATTTGAAAATTTTCAATTTAATTACTCGACATCAATTTTTCTTTGACATCGATCACTTCATTAGTTTTCTTTTTGTTAATTAATGTAAAATTTGTTGTGTTAAAAGTCGAGAATGCATAAAAGATGTTTAGAGATCAACTACCACTACGCATGGTGTGATAAGCTACCATTAAATTTGGGTGATTAATAGAAGGAATATGCTAACACTGTAATGAATATTCTAAGTATATATCACCCGAAATTTATTGAAATGGATGGAAAAGCAATGGTCAATGTATAACCATATAAACACATTTCACTTTACACAAGATGTAGTTGCTAAAAGCCTATTTGCTTTAAATATCTCAATATCTAGCACGGTGTAGAACATTTATGCACCCAAAAATAAAGAGATTCAAAAAAGGGAAGAAGAATTTTGAGTACTAGAATGATTTTACATTTGAAGAACATCAATCACATAACATGGGAGGCTCGTAACTCATTCCTTTCATATGCTTAATCAAGCGGCCAATCAGAGCATAAATCAAATCAGTGTCGCGATGAGTTCTGTCTCGTGAAAAGAATAAGTGCACTTCGTTGTTTAGTTCTATCCAACTACACCCGATTTCTTTCACCACCCCATTTTTCTCCATTTTCTCCCTCACCTTCTTTACATCAATCCACATGCCTTTAGACGCAAAGAGATTTGAGAGTAAGGTATATGAACCGCTGTCCTTTGGATCAATTGAAATGGCCATCTCAGCAGCATGTTCAGCCAGTTCCAGATTACCAGTGACTTGGCATGGGCCGAGAAAGCTTTTCCAAACTATAGCTGCTGGTTGTATTGGCATTTTCTCGATAAAAGCCTTTGCTTCGTACAACTTACCAGCTCGACCAAATAGAGAAACCATGCAGGTATAATGCTCAATTCCTGGCTCAATCCCATATCTAGACATGGACTCAAAGTAATTGAATCCTTCATCTAAAAGCCCCACATTGGAACATGCCGACAGCACACCAACAAAGGAGACATAATTGGGACGCATTCCTGCGTTTTTCATTTCCTCAAATATTTCAAGAGCTGTCTTAGCATCCCCATGCTGCGCATACATTGATATAATTGAATTCCAACACACAATATCTTTATGAACGATAGAATTGAAAACTTTTCGTGCTGCTTCTATGCTTCCACACTTTGCATACATATCGACAAGTGCATTTGTAACAAACGGACCAGAGTCGAGACCCAGCTTTATTGCTTGGTTATGGAACTGGAGACCATGCAACAGACATGCTAGATTACTACATGCCATTAGCATGGCAAGCAGAGTGAACTCATTAGGCCTCTGTACACTGTGCTGCAACTCTAAGTAGAGCCTAAGAGCCTCCTCATTTTTTGATTGACTTGCATAGCCAAAAAGCATGGAATTCCAAACTACAATGTCTTTGTCACCAATCTCTTCGAATAAATGCCTCGCATCTTTAACAGATGAACACTTTGAGTAAACATCTATCAAGGAACTTCCAACAGATATGTCAAAACAGAACCCAAACTTGATCACGAGAGAGTGAAGTTGCGTGCATACTCCCAATGCAATTTGTGAAGATGACATTCCAAGAAGGCTAAAAAACGTTAGTAAACTTGGTGGGATCGAATTAAGCCTCATCTCGGTGAAAATGCCAAGTGCCTTGTACGAATTTCCTTTTCTTGAGTATCCCTCAATCATTGCAATATAAGAGACCACACTGTCATTTTCCGAGTCGTGAAATACTCTTTCAGCATCGATCAAGCAGTCACTCTTTGAGTACAAGTCAATCAAGCTATTCTTCACATATTCATCAGTATCAAGATTGGTCTTCATGGTATAAGCATGTATTTCTCTACCCTGCTCAAGAGCACCAACAGAACCACACGAGGTGAGGACGCTACTGCAAGCAAATCCATCTGGTTTCCAACCTAGACTGTTCATATCAGTAAGCAGCTTCATAGCCTCTAAATCAAGGCCACTCTGCATGTACCCAAAAATCATTGTTGTCCAAGAAAACACATCCTTAACCACAATCTGGTGAAAAACTTTTCTTCCATTTTTCACATCACCGCACTTGATATAGAAATCCATAATCACATTACCCAGTGAAGCGTCCATGTCCCCACCCCTCCTAAGCACATAAGCATGAACTTGCTTTCCCCCTTCAAGAAACTCAAGCATTGAACACGCAACCAAAACACTAGAAATCATGTATCTATCAGGAACAACTTCAGTTTCTACCATATGCCTAAACAAATTCAGTGAAATATCACCCCTTCCACTTTTGGCAAATCCAGTCAGGATCACAGTCCATGTCACCACATTTTTCAATTTCATATCATCAAAAACCAATCTTGCTGACTCCATATCACTGGTTTTTGAATAAAAATCAATTAGACAAGTACCCAGATAGGCATTATTATCAGAACCAACCTTAATAATAAAACTATGCAAGCATGTCCCATTTTCAACACTACCCAATTCAGTACAAGATCGAAATACGCTAGCTAAAACATATTCATTAGAACTCTCCTTGCAAGTTTTTCTGTACTCCCGAAACAATATCAAGGAATCTTCACTATGCCCATTTTGAGTATATACAGAAATCATCGAAGACCAAGTAACTAAGTTTCTTTCAGGCATTCTATCAAACAGACAACGGGCAGAAAGTATGGACTCCCATTTCGAGTACAAAGAAATAAGAACATTACTAAGAAACACATTGTTCTCGAATCCACATAAAATGATTTGGGCGTGGACTGTTTTATAGTACACAATGGAATTATTACTTGTTTGGGTTGGTGAAAGTAAGAGCTTGCCCAAGTATTGTCTATGGGTTTGTCTGTTATGTGTAGTAGTAGTAACACCATGGCTCTCTGAATGAAGAAAATGAGATGATAGTTTGGAGAGTGATTTGAGCAATGACTGCTCTGTAGTTTTAGCTTGAGATTTTATGTGCAGCTGCAGCGTAAACAGAAAGTTCCGCATACATAAAGATCTCACTGGATGTAAACATGCATAATTGATAAGGATTTTTAAGCCAACTGCAAAAATTCTTAATGTTCCACGAGCATGGAGTGCAAAATCATTATTGAATTGACAGGTGAATTATCTTGTGATTTTTAGAAAAGTGATTAGGTTACACGTGCATCATATCATCGAATCAGTGAAGAATCGTCCAAATCCCGACACGATCCCTGTTGTTCACATGCCTAACGTGTAATAGTAATTTTATGAAAAAAAACTCTAGGTACAGACTATTTTTACAGGAAACTCACAGATTTTTGAATTCGACTTATGTGGCGAGAGAGAGAGAGAGAAAAATAAAGAAAACAAAAGAAAAAGAAAAAAAAAACATAAAAGTCTCCATTGTTTTACCAGGAAGTCTCATTTGTTCCCTCCAAAAATAGAAGACAGCAGCCCTTCCCTCCCAAAATAGAAGACAACCAGAGTCCATCTGAAATTCACCGGCGCCGACGACCATATCCCAGCTAAGAGGGCACCGTACAAACTTGCATTTCGAGCGATTGGTACCCATTTCGTTTTCCTTGGCAGTCAATCGGGTGGAGTCGACTTGGCTATGGAGATGAATATTGTACCATAACCCGTCTTCATTTCCAGCTTCCTCTTCATTTCCAGCTTCCTCCCGTGGTAATTATTTCTAGCATCTTCTGACCTATTGCGTATTTTGTGCATTTTCTTAGCTTTTCCAGTATGGCTTTCATGGGAAAATAATGAAGGATTAACAAAGTGATTTCTTGTAACAAAACAATGAACCGGGCGACTGATTAAAGGCTGTTGAACCATTTGAGCATTTCACTGCATCAACTTTTTGAAAACAAAATCACGTAATTTTTTTTTAAAATTTCAAGAAGCGCTTTTTTCTGTAATCTTTTTTCTTATGTTATAGTTTTTGGATTTAAAAAAATAATAAATTTCTATATAAAATTGCTTGAAAATAAATAAAAATGTTTCACTATGCCAATCACCATAATGAGACAGCAATTGATCCCTACTTCTCTGTACGAGTTCATCGTGGCTGCAAGCAATGGTGATAGTGCTAGCTTTGGTATACCTCTGAAATTTTCCAAACCTTATAGAATCACTCACCTGAAAAACATTTTAAAGTTGCTCAAGGAATAGCTAAAAATATGTAGATGCATTAATTGCTTCTTATAATTTGTGTGGCAAGAAACGAAATTATGGAAGATGGGAATCCTGATTTGTTGCTACAATCTGATAATGAGAACGCTATGGAGAATTTGAATATGGTGGACAATGAAAATGTAGGAGAAGATATGGTGTTAGTGCCTAAAGTGGGTATGACGTTTAGTGATGAGAAGGAAATGTTTGATTTCTACAAAAAAATATGCTTACGCCGTTGGCTTTTCGGTGCAAAAAAGGGGGAAGATGGAGTTATGAGATATGTGACATTCACATGTAATCATGAAGGTCGGAGAACTTATGCTATAGGCGATTCCTTGAAACCGCAACCAACATGTCAAACTGATTGTAAAGTAAGAATATCTGCATCTTTAGATACTCTGGGAATATGGAGGATTAACAAAGTGTACCTTGACCACAATCACAAAACAAGCCCATCAAAGTCTAGGCTGTACCGATGCAACAGAAAATTGAGTGCAAGTGTGAAACGAAAGCTTGAGGTGAATGATATGGCAGGAATTCCCTTGCATAAGAGTTATAATTCTGCAGTTGTTGAGGCTGGTGGATATGAGAACACGACTTTTATGGAGAAGGATTGTCGGAACTACATTGAACAGGTGAGATGACTACATCTTGGGGAAGGAGATGCCCTGGCAATACAGGCGTACTTTTCAAAGATGCAGGCACGATGCTCGGGGTTTTACTTTAGTATGGACTTAGATGATGACTGCAGACTAAAGAATTTTTTTGGGCAGACAATAGATGTAGGCAATCTTGCAGGGAGTTCGGTGATGTTGTCACTTTTGATACTACCTACCTCACTAATAAGTACGACATGCCGTTTGCCCCTTTTGTTGGCGTAAATCACTATAGTCAATCCACACTGCTTGGCTGTGGATTGTTGTCGAACGAGGACACAGGGACGTTTGTGTGGTTGTTTAGAACTTGGCTTGAGTGTATGCATGGTCAAGCTCCTAATGCCATCATTACTGATCAGGACTGGGCAATGCAAAATGCCATTCAGATTACTCTTCCAAACACGAAGCATAGATGGTGCCTATGGTACATTATGAAAAAGTTGCCTGAAAAGTTTGCATACCACGTTGAAAAGAGCTCAACATTTTTTGCTATACATGGTCTGGTATATGATGCGGAGAATGTACAAGAATTCGAAAGAGGTTGGAGGTCGATGCTCGATGTGTATGACTTGCATGATAATGCTTGGCTATCAGGATTATATGAGAACAGAGGTCGGTGGGTGCCTTGTTTTTTGAAAACCACATTTTGGGCAGGCATGTCCACGACACAATGAAGTGAAAGCATGAATGCATTTATCAATGGATATGTGCATTCGAAAACCTCGTTGAAGCAGTTTGTGGAGCAGTACGAAAGAGCATTAAGAAATAAGGTGGAGAAGGAGTTCCAGGCAGATTTTAGGTCTTATTCCCAGATAGTTCCGTGTGCAACAACATACGAAATGGAAAAGCAATTTCAATCGGTTTATACCATCGAAAAGTTCAAAGAAATTCAGTAGGAATTCACCGGGAAAGTGTACTACGACGTTGTATCTGAAAATGCCAATGTCTATTATTGGTCGACTTACGAGGTTCGTGAGGATGTCGTTCTTCACGAGCACCGCAAGAAAAAATCTTTTTACGTATCATTTCGGAGGGATACAATCTTAAGGAGGTGGAGACGAGATGTTAGTAGTGCACACTCGAGGATCGCAGTACATTATGATAGATTGGTCAGTAGTCCTGGACAGTTGAGGTACGACGAGATGTGCCAAATTTTTTCAGAGGTGGCGGACCTAGCAGCAGATGACGAAGTATGGACACACACTATAATGGAGTGGATGACATCGCAAATAAAAGAGTTACGAAAGTCTAAGTCAAGTGTTGGAAGCGTTGTCTACTCCTAGCCTAACAGTAGCGGTGGACGCATATTGGATCCAGTAACTTCTAATAGAAAGGGCGCACCGAAAAAACTTCGGAGGAAAGGACCATTAGAGTGTAGTTCAAAGAGGACGAAGGTATTTTTACTATTACTATCTTTGTTTATAATGAATTCGTAACAACTAATCATTTCACTTGTTGCACATGCAGGCCACCACACCGTCGAACAAAGGGAAGAGTCCTAGAGCTACTCAAAGTAATGTGGAAGAGAGATCAATCGATGCCCAGGCGTCTGTACCACCACAATGTCCTATGCCGACACCATTACAATACTCCGTCCATCCGGCAACCACAAATGTCGTGGTCAACGCAGAAGGTTTGTGTTAGGTATTTATGTATGTTTCTTGACGTCACATTGTGTTTTAATGTTTACCATGTAAATCAGGTCGTGTTATGCCATGCTTCTATCCAGATTTTCCCCAACAAGGTGCGACGCGCTTATGATTTTCGGGGAGAAGGTACGTCACATTGTCCTTTAATGTTTACCATGTAAATTAGGTATTTAATGCAATCGGAATTTTGATATCTGAGGGCTGCTTGAGATGATGAAAGACACAAAGCTACTTTGGTCTGCCCTCTGCCTTTATCAATATGTTCATGGGATTGCATTGCTTGACAATATGTGCTTTCGTTGGTCTATGAAATGTATGCCCCTGTCATATAAGTTTTCATTCCCTTAAATTTTAGGAGTCACCATTTAAAGATATTTTCAGATGGCACTTGTACCAGTATAAATTCCAAAGTTCTCTCAAATAGTAAATATATCCATCACAACTATAACATTGGAGATTAAATCGGAATTCATACAAAAGCAATAAAGGATATAGTTGAACAGAAGCAACATGCTTCTTAACAACTATTATTTTTCTAATTAGCATTAGAAAAATGATTTTACTGCCAGATGCTTTGTAAAAGGTTGCGTTAAGATGGGAAAATAATTATTCCTTTTCAAATGCTGCAATATAATGCGTAAAACCTGTGTTAGCAGATAACCCCAGAAGAATGAAGACTGAATTAGACCAACAGTAGCACTATTCCAGTTGAATTCCTCCGACATTGGAAGTATTGCTATACTCATGTTCACCTACAAGCATAGATATGGAAAAATTAGAACCAATGGAAATGGTTTTGTTGCAATGGAAATGGTTTTGTTGATATTTTGATATTGACTAATTTTAGTTAATTTGAACTCATTCTGTGTTTTTTAAGTTGTTGTTGATCGTTGGAGATATTTTATACATAAGTTGAGAATTTGGGTGAATGCTACCATTTAGTAATTCATTTGAATGGCTTCATTTTTTCATTATTATTGAATACATTTCCAAGAGCTCTCTCTCTCTCTCTTCCTTTTGTTCCCTACTTTTTTCTCCTTTATCATTGATTCTTTGATAGTTTGTTGTGTTCAATTGCATCTGTATCAACATTTAAAGCATTGTGGTAGAACAAACCTTCTCAATGAAATAAACTGAAACTTACGATATTAGGAAGTAAAGAATCCCTAATTAATTTTTTAATTCTGCATTGGTATGTTTCTATTGCACTTTTTCTAGCCTCATCTGCAGTTAGTAATCTCCTCTCGTGGTTATATATTGTCAAAGGACTTTGCACCGATGAGGTTTGTGGCACTCATTGATATCTTCTTCCTCGCCCTCTATGTGTGTATGTGAGATATATAATGCTCTTTGGTTGTTCACCAAAATTTGGATCTGTTTGTGTAGGGGTTCTCTTATTGGCTACCCTGTTGAAAATATCCGTATTGTTCTCAATGATGGTGCAGCCCATACTGTGGATTCCAGTGAACTTGCTTTTAAGTTAGCTGCAATATATGCTTTCAGACAGGTGCTGCTTGCATAATACACATGCTGAAAAGCTGTTCTCTTTGCTTTTTGCTTTCTAAATTTTTACAGCTGATCTTTACCGATGGCTGGCAAGATTTTTTTGACTCTTGGATGTATTTCATTTTTTTTGAATTTTCATAGTCTTCATTATGTTAAACAGTGTTATACATGATGGTGAAATGCACCTAACCTTCAATCATAATTCTTTTACTTTCCTGAGCAAGATTGGAAATCATATGTTTTAAGTTAATGATATCTATAATGTTATAAGCTTAGCTTGGTTTTCTTTTTTGTTTTGTATAATGACAGGACATCATTCTGCCTAGTGAGTATCTACAGATTTTTGCAAGCAATATGGGATGTTTTAAGGTGTTGAAGAGTAAGAAGAAGAAATCTGAGCAGTCCATGCATAATAGACGTGACAAACCTTAGCAACATTCGCCAACTATGTTGTCTGAACTAGGGTCGAACCTGTTCCGTCAAGAAATGGGGTAAGCAGCCAGTAGCTTCATGAAACTCGTCGAGGACATTGAAGAATATAAATTCTGCTGTAATGAAGAAACTTCTACTGTTGTATAACTTCTGCTGTAATGAATAAACAAACAAACAGAAGTTTTTCTATGATTTTGGGATTTTATGTTTGACATCATTTCATGAATTTTTTGTGTCTGTCATTTCATTTCGTGTCTCACATTTCATTTTGTGTACAAAAACTCTCCTTCGAATGGGGATCCTATTACATTATATGCCAACGAATGGGAAAGAATATAAGTGTTTTGCTTTCTCGAAGAATTTGTTTACTTTTATTTATAACATCGGCCTTACTAGGTATGCAGCTGTGTTTGATTTTGTGAAGGATGCAAGCTTGAATTAGGTAAAGTTTGGTACAAATTTCTGGCACAAAACTTGGAAGGAAACAGCATATTTTTATGAAAACATTCAATGTCTTATAAATCACCATGAAATACAAATTAGACATACATACGACCAATACATTATTATGCGAACTGAAATTCACATCATACTAGTGCCTCGACCGAAGACATGACTCAAATCAACCCCTCAATCCGACCTCTTTCCTTTCCCATTACAGTTGGCAATTCCCTTTCCCTTGCTAAAAGTCAAGTGCAATGACATGTCAACGTCTCGTTTCTCGCTAATTCTAGCTAGCCCATCAAAGAGTCTTGGCAGCTCTTCGTCTTCCTTGTCGGGCGACTGATTAACCGCATGCTGAATGGAACTCGATTCCCCGCCTACATCTTCATCTTTCACCCAATCAAAGTACCTGCAGTCATTGCTACAGGTAAAGAACAATCGACCTTTGTTACTGGTTTCTCGTTCGACCTCAAAACATTTTCGATATTCGTGGTCACAACTAGGGCATCGAAGTTTTAACTAGCATTGTTCAAAGTAGTGCCTACTGCTTCTGCAACCGTGACAAACTCCAAAATTTCTTCCTCTCATTCTAGCCAAGGTCTGAAAATGAAACAGACTCGTCAAAAATCAAAGACGTAGTTAAATGATTGAAAATATCTCGTAATAAAAGTTCATCTTTCATCCATCGTACATACGTGAAATTCAGATTTATCCCTACAGACATAATTAAATAAAAGTTCAGGGTTTCAGTCATACATACATGAAACAATCAAGCTGTGTTTTTAAGTATCACTGGCATACTAATTTTCATTTTCCCATTATACAAACCGGTGCAGGACATTCATCTTCATCAAACAACAACAACAGTTCTCATAATACATGTATTCAGAATAACCGGAGTAGGAAATTCATTCTTGATTTCCCCATTAAACCAACGGGTGCCAGAATTCAACAATCAGTGAAGACATTTATGCAAACCGAGTTACAAACAAAGCTAAATTGGTGGCACCCATCTTCACAAACCAAGAAGTCTCGTAATAAATGTAACTCAAACAAAGATTAATCAACATCCAAAATCCAAACTTGTATAATGGGAAAACTTTGGACATTCAAACATGATATTTATAAATAACCATGGAAAAAGTTGAGAACCATGTCAAACAACAACTCCACAAACACTTACGTTGATGCTAAGGGATGAATGTATGGCTGCGGTGACTCCGGCACTGGGGACGGAGGTGAGGGCAGTGGCTGATTCTAGCGCACACTCGAGCGTAGGGCACGCTGGCTGCGAATCGTTGCTATGGACAGTGTAAAAGTGATGGACACTATGGACACTATGAGGGCTCGTCGTCGACGCTAGAGACGGAGACTGCGGTTGTCAACTTGGCTGCGGGAGAAGTCGCGACTCCAGCAAATTCGGGAAAAGACCTAGAGCTTTTTTCTTCGGGGAAAATGGGGGAACTCGTTTGGGTTTAGTCAGTCAATCGGGTTGCGAGATTTTTGTTCGTTTTTTACCCAGTTTTTTGGTAATTTTATATTGTCATTTTATGCCAACTCAGCCATTTTAAATTTCTGTATATTTTCTGTCAAAACTCCCATTTTGAATTCCTGTACCCATAGCCCGGTCCTAATTTTATAGC